TCTCTCCTTTCTCTCTCTCCTCTCTCTCTCTCTTTCGCTCTCTCTCTCTCGTCTCGCTTCTCCCTCCATCTTCGCTCTCATCTCTCTCTTGTCTTATGTCTCTCTTCTCATTCGTCTCTCTCTCTCTCTCTCTCGCTCTCTCTCTCTCTCATCTTTCGCTCTCTCTCTTCATTCGCTCTCTCTCTCTCATTCGCTCTCTCTCTCTCTCTTCATCTCCTCTCTCTCTCTCTCGCTCTCTCTCTCCATCTCTCTCTCTCTCTCTCTCTCGCTCTCTCTCGCTCTCTCTCTCTCTCATCCTCTCTCCTCTCATTCGCCTCCTCTCTCCGGCTCTCCCTCACTTACTATTCGCTCTCTATCTCCTTTCCTCTCTCTCTCTCCTTCTCTCCTCTCTCTCTCTCTCTCTCTCTATTCCTCTCTCTCTCTCCTTCCGCTCTCTCTCTTCTCCTACGTCGCTCTCTCTCTCTCCGTTCCCCTCTGCTCTCTCCTTCGCCATCTCTCTCGTCCTTTCGCTCTCTCTCTCTCCTCTCGCTCTCTCTCTCTCCTGCTCGCTCTCTCAATTCTCTCTCTCTCTCTCCTTCCTTCCTTCGTCTCTCTCTCTCCTTTCTCATTCTCTTCTCTATCTCTCCTTCCTCTCTCATTCTCTCTCATATCTCTCCTTCGCTCGCTCTCTCTCTCACTCCTTGCTCGCGCTCTCTGTCTCTTCACTCGTCTCTCTTCTCCTTCATCTCTCTCCTCTCCTTCTCTCTCTCTCTCTCCTCTCTCCTTCTCTGCTCTCTCTCTTCTTTGTCTCGCTCTCTCTTTCCTTCGTTCACTCTCTCTCTCTCCTCCTTCACTCCTCTCTCTCTCTCTCCTTCACTCCCTCTCTCTCTCTCTCTCCTTCGCTTATTTGTCTCTCTCTCTCTCTCTCTCTCTCTCTCTCTCTCTCTCTTCTCTCTCTCTCTCTCTCTCTCTTCTCTCTCTTCTCTCTCTCTCTCTCTCTCTCTCTCTCTCTCTCTCTCTCTTCTCTCTCTTCCTATCTCCTTCTCCCTCACTCTCATATCTCTCTCTTTCTTATGTCCTCTCTCTTTCTCATTCGCCTCTCTCTCTCTCTCGATCTCTCTCTCTCTCATTCGCTCTCTCTCTATCTCTCATTGCTGCTCTCTCTCTCTCTCCTCTCTCGCTCTCTCTCTCCTCTCTCTTCTCATTCGCTCTCTCTCTCTCTCTCTCATCGCTCTCTCTCTCTCTATTCTCATTCGCTCTCTCTCTCTCTCTCTCTCATTCTCTTCTCTCTCTCTCATTCGCTCTCTTCTCTCTCTCGCTCTCTCTCTCTCTCTCTCTCTCTCTCTTCTCTCTCTCTCTCTCTCTCTCTCTCTCTTCTCTCTTCTCTCTCTCTTTCGCTCTCTCTCTCTCTCTCTCTCTCTTCCTTCTCTCTCTCATCTCTCTCTCTCTCTCTCTCTTCGTCTCTCTCTCTCTCTCTCTCTCTCCTCTCGCTTCTCTCTTCTCTCTCTCTCTCTCTTCGCTCTCTCTCTCTTTCTCTCTCTCATTCGCTCGCTCTCTCTCTCTCTCCTTTTCGCTCTCTCTCTCTCTCTCTTTTCTCTCTTTCCTCTCGCTCGCTCTCTCTCTCTTCTTCGCTCTCTCTCTCTCTCCTTCCTCTCTCTCTCTCTCCTTTCTCGCTCTCTCTCTCCGCTCGCTCTCTCTCTCATTCGCTCGCTTCACTTCTCTCTCTCTCTCTCCTTCTCTCTCTCTCTCTCTCTCTCTCTCTTCTCTCTCTCTCTCTCTCTCTCTCTCTCTCTCTCTCTCTCTCTCTCTCTCTCTCTCTCTCTCTCTCTCTCTCTCTCTCTCTCTCTCTCTCTCTCTTCTCTCCTCTCTTCTTCCTCTCTCTCCTCTCTCTCTTCCTCTCTCTCTCTTCCTTCTCTCTCTCCTCTCTCTCCCTCTCTCTCTTCCTCTCTCTCTCCTCTCTCTCTTCTCTCTCTTCCTCTCTCTCTCTCTCTCTCTCTCTCTTCTTTGCTCTCTCCCTCTCTCTCCTTCTCCCTCACTTTTTTTTTTATCTCTATCTCTCTCTATGTCCTTCACTCTCTTCTTCCTTTGCTCTCACACTTTCTCTCCCTCCTTCACTGTCTCTCTCCCTCCTTTACTCTCTCTCTCCCTCCTTCACTCTCTCTCTCTCCCTCTCGCTCTCTCTCTCCCTCCTTTGCTCTCTCTTTCCCTCCTTCGCTCTCTCTCTCCCTCATTCTATCAAGTAATGCTGCACTATCAAATCTTTAAGTAAAGTTCCAACAAGTAACATTTTTCATACTATTTATTCTTATGCATAACAGTTTTCATCACATTTTAAAAAACAACTAATTTTGAAAGTAAAAGTACAGATTTCAAAAAGCTATTCTTAGATTGTAAAAGAAAGGAGAGAAAACATCTAAACTGAATAAAAGATAAATATTCCCGTCACCTCTGATAAAAGTAATATCATCACTTAGTTATCTAAAAGCAAAACACTTATATCATAACTTAATTATCTAAAAAT